CCGCTACGTCGCACCTGCCGCTTTGGGTCCTGCCGGGCGCGTTGGGCTTCTTACGGTGTCGTTGCTTATTTACGGAAAAAATCCCCCCAACAATAGGAACGTGGTTCGGTAAACCGCGGTAGGCAGCCACCCTACCGTGTTTATTACCCATAAACACATTTTTAATGGAATGACCAGTGGGACACAGTATCATCATTTAAAATTATGTTGGTAAAGAACTTGGTATGGGAAGATGTTCCTGATATTTTAAGAGACGCCGGTCCAAGAAGAAAGAAAATAAAACAAGAGATGCCGGTCCAGAATGGTCCTATTTTTATTTTTTTAAAAATGAGTGTATGTGTATAAAATGACCAGTTTGGAAGCATGTAGTCTAAGGAGTCTTCTTTATAACAGTGAGACCTCAGGACATTTTAATACATTTTCTAACTTTTTCAAATTTAAAAATTTTGTAATAATAATATTTTATAGTAGTTTGTGGTAATAATAGTATTTTTAAACAAGAAGGAGAGAGAAAAATAAATTGGAAAAAGACCTAAAGTGAACCTGAGTGGGGGGCGGAAGGAGCCTTTGAAGGGGGCCCCCCTGTGGCCACAGGATGCATTTCCTTTCCGTTTCCTTTTCGGGTGGCTCCTTCCTGCAGAGGAACCTGCACCACGTGCTCCAGACTTCTGTGGGGCTGGGGGTCAGCAGCGAGGTCTCAGCATGCCCTCGTTTTCTCTCGTCCTCCTGGGCAGACCAGGGCAAAGGGGTCACCCTGGATGCGTTCGTTGTGTATAAAAGTGCAGCCTCTTCAGGAGTGATGGTGGGGGAGACACTTAATTCAAACTATTTTGGGAGGTCTGTGTGGGTGGGTGTGTGTGTGTGTGTGTGTGTGTGTGTGTGTTCCTCACTGATATTGGCCTGGCTGTTTTCCTTTGCCCTCAGCTCCCAGGGATTGCCACTCATGGTGCTGACAGAGACAGGGAAGGCGATGTGCTGGAGGGATAAGAGATTAATCAGGAGACTACTCCAGCAGTCTAAGCTTGAGGTGAGAAAAGGTCTGACTAAATGTAGCCCGAGTGGGAACAGAAAGGAACGGGCAGATCTGAGGGTGCTGTCAAGAATATGAAATGAGAAGTGGTAATCAGCTGCCTGTGTTGTTTACGTGAAAAATATTCCAGGATAATGCTAAAGTACTGAGTCTGAAGGGCCGGGAGTGTGCACTTGTGATAGAAATGAAGTGATCAGAAAGAAGAGCTAGTTTTCAGGGATATGATTTTTTAAAAATTCAACTTTTGCTTTATGCCAGGGCCATTTTGGGGTAGAAATGACCTGTCCTAGCAGATTCTCAGGTTAGCTCCATCAGAGTCTCTGGGGTGAGCTCATGAAGGACATGGATTTCTGGATCCCATCCCAGATCGATTGAATCAAAATAGGAAGGGGTCCTGAGTACTGTGGGGAAAACTTGCTTAAAAGAAGGTATTTTTAACAAGCTTCTAATAGGGATTAGGATGGGGGTGAGGCTCTGGTACACAGCCAGGTTTGGGAAAGAATGACTCCCCCAACCTTCCCCCTAAGGCAAGGATCCATTGCAAAGCACCCCTGGTAGATGGCCTCCCAGCCTCTGTTCACAAAAAGAACAAAGACAAACCCCACCCCTTTGGACCGATATTTAAGACCTCCATGGTCTTCCCACCATTTCCAATTTTTTGCCCAGTCTGTGTCATAAGCAGGCATGAGAATTTCCACTCCCATGCCTTTCCTCATAACCTTTCCCCTCCTCTTATAAACCTGGAGTCCACCCCGCCCTTGGCTGTCTTTCCCAGACCAGCTCATCCCCTAACTCCCACCGAGCCTTTCCACTCCAATCAAGCTTGCAGCCAACTCTGCCTTGGCCAAGCTCATAACTTTCAATATTGGTACCATTCAGTTGGCATTTAGAGAAAAATGTTAACACATGAAATAGCGTCCTAACTCATCTCATCTATATATATAAAAGCCTAAGTGATCATTACAACAGAACAACAAAACGACCAGAACGACTGGAACAACCGGTCGCTATGATGTGCACTGACCACTAGGGGGCACACGCTCAATGCAGGAGCTGCCCCAAGCTTGCATGCCCTGATCACCGATGGGGCCTGCGGGCCAACCTCCTGGTCCCTCCTTCTGGCCTGCAGGCCTCGATTGCCCGATAGGGGCCGGGCCCCCAGGCTGGAATGGAGAACCGGGGGTGGTGGTGGCAGATGAGGCCCCTTTCCCAGGGGGAGCTGAGGGCCGGCTCCCGCCTCAGGGCCGGCAGCCAACCTCCGGGGTTCCTCCCCCTGGCCCTCCCCTGGCCAGCAGGTCCCAATTGCCCAATTGGGGCCAGGCCCAGGGCTGGGACAGGTAACCAGGGGTAGGTGGCGACAGACATGGGCGGCAAGGGAAAGAGGAGGGGGGGAGGCAGGGAACCTGATCGGCCCTGATCACCGGCTAGGCCTAGGGACCCCACCCGTGCACGAATTTCATGCACCGGGTCTCTAGTAGATTATAAGTTTCTTGAGAACAGAGGTTATATCTTATTTCTCTTCTCTCCTTATGGTGCTGGATACAGGGTAGGATTACAGAGCATAAAGTAATTACTTAGTACAAATCTTAATTAACTGTGATATGTGGTATGATCAACTGTGGTCCCAAGAATTCATCACTCCCCTTTGGTTTGTTACTACTGCCACCACCACCTCCTTCACCCTCCTAGAAAAATCTAAGGTGTGTGGTCATGGAGGGCTGCAGCTCACCCAGAGGAGCCTGGGGAACAAGCTGGTGAGCATGAACCACATGTTCCACTCAGGGCCTGGGCTCTCCAGGGCAGAAGTGAGGTCACCTTGCCAAGTACAGATGAGGAGTACAGATTCATAGGTGGGTCTTATTTCCAGCAAACTCCAAATGTGGGAAAATCCAGACATGAACCAAGCATCAGAATTTGTGTTTAGATTTGTTTTTTTAACCTCAATAACAAAAGTTATTGAATATGCCCATAACTAAGTTTTCAGGAGCTTTTGAAAATAGTATCTTAGTTACAAAAATTATGTTTCTCATCATGTACATT